TGCCTATTTCTCGTTGTTCGCTTTGTGTTGCCGCAGTATTCGCCACAATAGGTTTTAAGAGCTTGATAAAGTGGTATTTTCATACAAAGCAGAACTCCACAGCAAGCTTTTCAGGCGTTTGGGGTTTTTCAGGCTTTCAGCAATAGCTGAATTGTGTAGCTGAAAGCCTGAAAAGCTTGTTGTGAGTACAGTGGAATTCTGACAATCGCTAAGCTAAAATTTTCTCAATGAAAAGCAGTAGGGCCTAAAAGTATACAACACGTAAGAGCAACACATGCGATGTGTAATCAGCCAAATCTGACAGTGTGGCGGGCATGTAATAGATGCGGCGTGTTGTTAGGAGCGTCTGCTATTCTTTTGGAGATCTTTGGCGACCAAAATTAGCGATAGCAAATGTTGGAACCCGGCAACAGGTATCCGAATATACGGATATCTCCAGTCCTGGTCCCGACACTTAATTTTATGAATTTAAAATTTTTATGCCTAAGGTTAAACATATATGTATTGGAGCGGCGAGCAAAGAGTCGATTTCAGACGCACAAGTTTGTAAGTCCAAGTTCAGACAGAGAAACCTTGGCCGCGGCAACTCGTTACTTGTGAGAGAGGGGGAGACGAGGAAGGGGGAAGGGCACCGAGTTGCTCGTGCTCGGGCAACACGCTTTGTACTCTCGTTCGTCTGAGTAATTCTATTGCCGAAAATGAGCAACAAAAGTTTTTCTGTGTGAACCTAGTCTTCTGAAGCTTTGCTCGATGATAGTTCCCGCTTTTGCCCGCCGCTCCACTATGTTTTGACCCTAAAGCAGTGTTTGCATTGTTCAACTTTTTGTTGAATGCGAGAGTTGAGTAGTGCAAACAGCCTCTCAACAAATCGCTTCAATGAAGTTGATCGGTAACCGAATTTCGTTCAACTTTTGATTGAATTAATCACCTTTGAAAGTTGAACAATGCAAACGATGCTTAACTATTTGTATATGCAATGAGTACTCACAACGAGATTAGTTTAAAACTCCTGCATGTTTTGTCCAATTTATTTTTTGTTTCGATTTCGACAGTCTAGTTAATAACTAATTTAAAATGATTTAAAATTATATATAATTCGTTGCCGAGTTTGGGCGCCCCTAATAGAGAATCGACTAGCATCGTTTATCGATGAATCTGCTTTGTCAATCGACAATCGATGGACCATTGAACAGCTGTAAGGTGCGTGCGAGTTCAACTCATACGTAAAATCTGTGAAAAACTACTAATATTGAATAAATAATAATATTGAATAAAACTCGCGAAATTTGCTGGAAAAATGTTAGCTAGACATTCAACAAAGCTTACGCGCATGTCAAAAATGTGTGCAACGTTCTGTAGCGCACCTGCGGAGGCGGCAAAAGAAGCGCTATATAATCGTCCAAAATTGGTATCAACCGATTACCGCACAGCAGAGAGCAACACCGACCTGCATTCTAAAGTGCATGAAGCCAAATTCTACACACTTCCGCCTGACGAAAAGAAGCAACTATTCGGCGGTGGTGGACTTCCACGTCAATTTGAACAGCAAGTGAAAACATTCACCGAGGCTTGTCTAATGGTGCGTCCGGCTGCCTTAGAGCTAATAAATTACATCCGTAACACTAATTTCAAAAGGCCTGTCGTTCGGTATGTACTTTACGGTGATAATGGTGCTGGTAAAACACTAACCATGGCACATGCGTTGCACTATGGTTTGCAAAACAACTTTCTGCTTGTACATGTGCCTTGGGTGCCCAATTGGATGAAACGTCCGAAAGAGACAGCAAGTGCATCTTCTCAAGATGGATTTATCGATTTGCCTTTCGATGCAGCGGCTTGGTTAGTACATTTTAAGACTCAAAATGGCCCACTACTTTCGAAATTGGAATTAAAAACCAGTAAAGATTACGTTTGGAGTAAACGAGAGGCAACACCAGCTGGTTCAACATTATTGGAGTTAGTGGAACATGGTATTGCGCGCATTAAGTTTGCATCCGAGACAGTGGCAGCATTGTTGTCTGAATTGAAACAGCACGCCAGTGAAGAACATTGCAAACTAATGGTGGCAATTGACGGTTTCAATGCGTTTTTCCATCCTGAGACTCGGATTTTCGGTGACAACAAACAGAGGATGACACCAAATCGTATAACGTTGACACAACCCTTCTTGGACATTACAAATTTTAACTGGACTAATGGTGTATGCATATTAACTGTAGATAAGATAGGCATGACCGAAGGCTATATGGAGTCGTACATGCCCCGCTATCTGCTTGGCAAAGAAGGATTCGAACATTTAGACCCATTTGTACCAGTGCGTGTAGATAACTACAGCGAGAAAGAGTTCACAACATGTATACAGTACTACCTAGATCGAAATTGGATACAGAAAACGCCGGAGGGTTTTGACGAGCAACTCAAATACCTAAGCAATAAGAATCCTTATACATTAATGCAGTTAACACGTTCGTTGTAAAGTATAAGAAGGATCTTAAGCAAGAGGAAGGGCCTGTTCGAGGCACGTAATAAAAGCGGCATTACTGCTGTACTGATGAAAAATGGCAACATTGTTGCAACTGCCCAACTGATAATACATTGCTAGAAATTCACACAGAACGTGATACTTTAATAATTCGCGCAACACTGCGGTTGTGATTGCAACTCGAACAAGCCCGAAACCAAATATTGTTAAATTTCTGTTTAAATAAAAAATGTCATCAAAACTAAAATAAAAAGAGCTCAAGTCCTGCATTGAATTCTTTTCAAGGTTTGATTCTACAACTTCTGTTAAAGTAACTGTTTTCAATGCTTATTGTGATTACTGCTTGGTAAAATTGTAGACCCTTATTGGGCATTATGAATAAAAACCTGGCAATTGCTTTTTCTTAAAATTTCAGACTTCTTAGTTAAATTTTTTTGAAGAAATCGCGTAAAAAAATCTGAAAATTTAAGAAAAAGCAATTACTTAGTTTTTATTCATAAGGTCGATTGACTTCGTACGATTTGCGATTATTTATTAATCAATTATTTTTGTATTTTATTATAAATTTCATACATTTTTAAATGTATTAATTGCTATTTTTTTAGCCGCTACTAGTTATTTTATTTTAGAGCATTTAAAAATTTTACGTGAATTTATTACATACATATTTATGTATATATCTTGAATATTTCTTTTTTTTATCGTAAATCTGATTTATCAAATAACACATAAACTTAAAATTGGCTCTATGTATACAAGCAAGGAATTTCAACATGAACACGGCAGCGTCAAATGCGTTCAACTGCAATCAGAAGTATGTATTTGACTAAATTCTTCTGTGCAAACATAGGTTAATTTGGTGTTCCTCACGGCGTCAGTATGAAAACTTTGGCTTTTCTACTTTTCATCTAAACACACATAATAACGCCGTTCCCATATTTGCTAGGCTTCGATTTTGATTGGCGGATGTAAACGCGGCCAGTCAACAAACTCCACACCATAATGTAATATACCAGCAGTACCTAATCCAACGCAAGTTCCCCAAAGTAAGAGGAATAACAAACTCTGCGTATTAAATTCTGCTGGCAATATGGCTGTGATGAAAAGCATAGCGATAGCAAACAGCAAAACGGAAGGAATCTGTAATACAAAAAACATTATAATTTTATACTTTTTTTTTGTTTTAGCAGCAATAGGCGTTAACACACCGTATTGTAGCGCCAAGTCCTTGTAACTACTAAAGGCGATTGCAGTAAATTGCCTTCATCGGGTTTGACAACATATTTGCCAAGGAACAGATCAAAACCATCCTACAAGGAGCAAATAGAATTATAACATCGTAGTTAAAAATGAAGTTATCACGCAAAAACTTACCTGCCTACTTCCGTCTGCAAAATTATTCAAATAGTACCGTGTTGCTGAATTGATGCCATCCTGCATCAGACCTGCTTTTGTACGTTTACCGGTGCGAGTGAAGTCGGTTTTCAAAGCACCGGTGCCAGAATATTGTAGAGAAATTACATCAGCATTGTCAGCCCAAACCTAAATATGGAAGTATTGCACATTAGCAAAGTAGCTTAAAATATCCTACGACTTGGCTCACCCCCTTGAAAATGTACTCAAAATTGGGCGAAGCACGCTCCACTGTTTGACCCACTTGCAAAATACCCAGCTTTTGCAGTACAGCATTCAGCGAACGCTTGGCCAACATGCTTTGTACAACATTGGTACGATCTAAGCAATCAATGCAATTTGTGCGAAATACACCATCTTGCGCAGATACCAAACTACCATCTTCGCGCAAGTGGAATACCGAGAACTCGTCCTGTTCATGGGCCACGCGATCTATAAGAATCTGCAAACGATCCCAACGCATTTTCTTGCATTCAGCATGGAAGTCAAAGGCTTCATAACGTACATTCGGATTGTTCATTTGTTGCACAAATGTTCGGAATGCACGTTCCATAGTCCCTTCTGCACGCTTTTGATCTACCTGAAAAATGCATCACATGAAAAATATAGAGGAGTATATGAATGAAGCGAATGTTAGAGGAGTTTACCAGGTTCAATACGATTTGACGACCATAAAGCATAATTTGTGTTTCGAAATGTTTATAGCATGCTCCTAAGTGGTCCTTGCCAGGCACTAACTCTGGATCAGGCTTATATCGAAGATTGGGGAGTTGCCGCCAAAAGAAGGGCATACTACCACGGGTCTGCATGTGAATAAAAAAAAATATTGACCAAATTGAATTAGCAAATTTTAATCGTATATCATTCAGCCTCATTGCGAGAGTTGTGTCGAATGCAAGTCGTTTTTCGAGAGTCCAGTCGTATTGAAAATTTCGATTCGACTATTGTATTGAAACTGTAAAACTTGGCAGCACTGCATAGTTTTCGACGATTTCCGTCGTTTACTTATATCAGCACGACAGTAGACAG